TTCACAGGGAGAGCAATGCAGTGGGCAGCCACTTTTTTGTCATCTGTATGGAAATCTCAAATGGAGATTATCTTCCCTCAGGATCCTTCTGGAAGGGTATAAATAATAGAATATACTAATCAACATTAGCTATTTAAAAATGAATACAGAATTACATTAAGGAAAAACTAAATGATGTCCTTATAAAATCCAAAAAGACATGAAAAAGAAGTCTTAGCTGGCCTCTCTTAAGTTAGCCCTATTTTCTGGTACCCAAACAAACCTTTAACAAGGGTGTTCAAAGTAACCATCTATCATTCCCTTATTTATGAGAGGTAGAATGCAAAAAACAAGGGGCTAATTTTAATGTAACGATATTCCCATTAACCATTGTATACAAGGAAGCAGCAGAAAGGTGAAGACTAGAAACTTAGGAACCTTTTATGGAAAAGCTGGATAAGAAGTTGGCCTACACATAAGAGGAGGAATGGTCAGATGTCACATAATGCCTGCCTCTAAAGGTCTTCCCTTAACCAGGTCTGGGGAAACATTAGGAAAAACAATTAGACATTAAAATCTTGATCCTTTGCTATTATTTTTTACTCCGGTCTTTAAAACACAATAATAATATTTATAATTCATTTCATTACAGAGAAGCACTAAAATTATCCTGAAGACTTTATCTCACTGGCTGTTAAAAGAAAATCTTTCTTCCTTCCTTCCTCCCTTCCTTCCTCCCTTCTTTCCTTCCTTCCTAGGACTGTGAGGAATAAATCTGGCTATTTCATCAAAGCCTAAAAAACTACTGGAGTCTTGATTTTAACTGAAGAGTTCCTCCAAGAATTCCCCGAGAAAGGGGAAAGAAGACGATCTCTGTGGTGTGTTGGGAAATGCCATTGCATTCTCCCTGATTCTTCCATCCTTGGCAATCCAGTTATGATCTGACAGCATTTAAGGATGACAGTACTTGAGGTAATAGGACAATGCCATAACAGGATTACAGCAAATGTGAAAGAAAGGACACACGTAGGTACTGTCATTTAGGTAATGTCATCTATGATCAGTTTTTGTTTCATTTTTTGCTGACGCAGAAGTCAGTATCACTTATACGATTCATTGTAAACCCTGTTATGGCTGTAAATAGTTTGCTTTCCCGATGAAAAGAAACACTTATTACACTTCAGGGGATTCAGTGAAAGTTTCTACCTTCGGCTGATGCGAAAATAGTAACAAAAAGATTTCAAACCAATAGCCAAAGGTTAAAAAGTAGCCCAAAGTCACTACCACCCCAAATGAATTTTATCTTCAAAGACAGAAAGAAAAAAATTGTTGTTGATCATAAACAATAGGTGGCCAAAAATTCTCCAAGGGTATCTTAACCCCAGCAAAACTGCTGCTTTAGAGAATTTGGAGACAATGATGTGGAGACACCTAACTCGATTCCAATTGGAACGAGATTCACATTGGGACAGCTGGTCTACCCAGCCTACCTACCAATAGGGTCCTTGCCAGTCACTTGCACTATTTCTCATTCTATTTCTTTGATGCCATTTTGCCCACAGCACATCCAAATCCACAGGATACCAGCCTTTAGAACCTAGTTCTACTATACTTTATAATTAATTTCTGCCACTGGGAGTTTTCTTCCAACGTTACCAAGTCTTCTAGAAGCCATTATTCCTTTGCAGTGAACACAGGGCTGCCCTGCCTTTCATTGAAACGGCTTCCTCATTGTCCAGGACAAAAAGCCATACTGTAGGCCAGTGAACAAGCACAAACAAAAGCTCATTTGCTCATCACCTGTCTCAAAAGAAAATTCTGGCTAGAAGAGGAACTACTGTGTAGGAAGCTGAAGAGACGTTCTGACATTTTAAATCCAAGAGGCTAGTTCTCCTCTAGAACATTCTGGGTCACTAAGGTTCTCTGCTTTTCTTGTTCATTGGCTAATATCCTGAGTCCCTAGTCCCCCTTTCCTTCCCAACTGCCCATCCACTATCTCCTTAGTCAGTCCTTCTTTTACCCCATCCAAAAAAGTTCATTAAAGTTCAGACTAACCTAATAACCTCCAAAGTAAGAAAAGGGTTACCAAAGGAAGCTCATAAGGATATGGATTTTGAAGCCAGCCTTGTTTTATCATATACCCTCTGAAGGATAAACACCATCATGGAATACTATCCAATCCCTGAACAACTTTCTGGCATGATGGGCTGGAGGAGAGGGGCAAAGAGCCAAAAAGGAGCCTCATGAGCTCTTGCTTCTAAACTTCATGCCTGCCCACTGCCCATCCACAGTAGGGATGAAGTGAAAAGTTCCCAGATTGGAAAGTGCTAGTCTCCTCAGTGCTTAGCGCTGTTCCATTTGGGAAAAGTAACTGTGATCAACCAACTTCATCTTCCACAACATAGAGTCATCAGCATGAAGGACTTTATAAAGGACTTCAACAACCCCCTCCATACCCTATATAGAGTCCTCAGCGTAAGCCTCCTGGAATTCTGCCTTTGTTCCTTGCTCAAAGCATTGCAACAGCTTTCCATCATCTACAAAATGTAGACCAACTCCTTAAGCCTCCATTCCAGAACTCTGTAATCCATCTGAAAATCTATTCTGGTCTTAGCTCTCTCTACCCACCAGCGAAAATGTTCTGCTCAAGTGAAAATCCATTCTATCCTCATTTCTCTTCTGGCTTTTCTTCTTCCCCTCTCACTTCCTACAATGCTGTTCATGCTTCAAGGCCTTGCTAAAGATCCACCTAATCACCCTAGCAAGAATAATTCACCTTGTGCTTCTCCGATCTCCCGGAGCACTCAGTCTGCATGCCACTCCTTCACTCATAGCCAGGCCTTCCATTGCTGTGACCTCTCTCTGCCTCTGATTAATTCTGTCTTCCCAACATGCTTCTTAAGTACAGGAACTCTGTATTCTACTTGTTTTTATTTTATTTTTTAAAAAATAAAGTATGTCATAGCACATGTGAATGATATCCATATATCCAACAAATGTAACAAATCATGGTTAAGTGACTGACTTACCTTCCTAAATGGGAAGTTACTTTGACAAAGATCATTTCTATTCAATATGGTCATTTTAGCCTTCTTAGCACCCACAAACAGTTCCCTTCTGATATCTGCTTCAACTTTCAGATAAAAGAGGCAAGCAGCAGTAACATGTTATGCTACGCAAAGATTAGCAATAATACCCACCCTCTTTTAAACAGCCACCCCACACCCTGGAGAAGAACAAATGTGAAATTCAAGGACTAGGTTGATCAAGTCTTGACTGTTAAAGTTACCAAAAAAATAACATCATTTATGTGTGAAACCCAACTTTAGGTCGTGCTGCTCTAACTGCACTTCAACCATAGTCATTGAAAGAAGTTAGGCTCAGCATGAGCACATCTTGAATACAAAAGGCTAAGTTCTAAAAATGTATTTTTAATACTCTTTTGAATCCAGCACCACTAAAAATTATTTCATTTTGATGCCAGAGAGCAACAAACATAGATATTCTTGGGCTCCATTAGCTATTAGGTGTCGTAAAGGGAAGTCCTAACAAAAACTAAGGCAATAGCTAATTTAACCATTATTTGAAATGTTACCTAACTGAAATTCTCCAGACTGGGCTGAGTGCCCACAGCAAAACACCGTGGACATCATTACCCCATCTTGGAAGCCAAGACCTAGAATCAGGAGGGTAGCCAGGTAGATCCAATCTGCAGAGCCCTTAGAAACCAACCAGGTTCAGAAAAGGCACTCCACATGTCTGCCAAATAAATGAATAAAGTTCAGATATCCCATTTATGCTAACTACCTTGGAAACTGCATGAGAGACAATTTGGAAAGAGAGACGGGTGGTGTAAGCAAACAATAACTCACTTTTCAGGAATGGTACAGACAGTTACACAGTTGAGAGCTTCACCCAAGGAAAATGTACACATCAGTGAGTAAGATGAGTTGGGTATTCTGCCCATTTTTTTATCTTTTGAAGCCCACTGGAATTGCATGAAATAAATTCCCTCCTCTGTCTCTTTCCCTCATACACTCACAAGTACACACACATTTCTCACAAACACATGTGCTCCCATGTGGTTAGAAGTTTCTCTGAAGCCTACTCAGAAACCAAAGAGCATTTCATTTCCATGAAATGTCCCCCCAAAGATGGCCTGAGGCTTAATAAGACCTAAACAGTTAACAGCTACAGACAGACAATCTTCCATGCTGGTCCAACTCAAGTGGTTGGTGTTTTGCTTGGTCTTTTTTTTTTTTTTAAGCTTTATTGAGTCATAATTTACCTATAGTGAGTCAATTGTTTTAAGTGTACAGTTTGATGAATTTTGCTACACAATCATACAACAGCCACCAAAATCAAGATGTAGAAAATGTCCATCATTCTAATGTTTCCTCATGCCCTTTTGCTGTGCAGCCCCTCCCCTGAGTCCCACCCCCTATAGTTACTGATCTGCTTTCTGCTAAGTCTTGTAGAATTTCATGTAATTGGAATAATAGAGGATGTCACCTTTTGTGTTCACCTTTGTTTTCACTAAGCAGAATGATTTTGAGATTCATCTATGTTGTTGAGTATATTACTATTTCATTTTTATTGTTGAGATGTATTTGATTGTAGGGCTGTTTATTCTTGATTAACATTTGGGTTGCTGTTACTTTTTGACTATAATGAACAATGCTACAATGAACATTGTACATCTGAGCTTACAGGTACATACATCTTCATTTCTCTCAGGTAAATACTTAAGGCATTTGAGAACACAGAAAAAATACTGATTGACTTGAGAGTTCAGGAAGCCCCCATTTTGTCATCCTCTGCCTGCTCCTCTTTCACCCCATTCCCTGAGGAGTTCAACTCCAAAGCCTCTAGCCATCTGTTTGTCTAAACAACCAAATGTCACCTTATGCCAAGCAGAAACTTCTCCAGTACACAAAGGAAATAATGGAAAGAGACCAGCAAAACATCTTATAGTGGACAATTGTTTGGACTGAGCCCCTTCTGGGTCAGAGGTAACTAACCTGGTGTTGTAAGCCCTAAGAGCCCGTGCAGGTGGAAGAAGGGTGAGGCTGATCTTCCCCATTAGTAGGAGAGTTGAACAGTAGCAGGGGGTCCTGAAGATAACTTCTACCTTGCCAAAGGCCTTAGGCAATATCAAGGTGTCAGACAACACCACACAGGTGCCAGCTGCTGCCCAGTGCTGTGGAGAGCAAAGAATCAGTGCAGGAACCTGACTCAGTACATGGAACTCTTCCCTTCCCTCATCAGTTGGGACAGAACAAGGCTCTGAAGGAGCTAGGGCCTGGAGACTAGAGCTGCTATGGTCCAGACAGTGGGAGAAGCAAATTAAGGGAAGACATAGGGAGCAGAGGGAAGTGGACAAAAGAAGGATCAGTCATCTGACACAGAAAGAAACAACTCAAGGAGAAGAAGCTGAAGAAAACAGAACAGACTGCTACTGGCAATAATCTGAAAAAGAAAGCCCTAGGAGTGAGAGACACATACATTACTTAAGACCCCTGGAGCAACAGATGCTTTAGCTAAATAGACTGAGGAAGAGGAAAGGAGAAGATGGTGCTGGTAGAGCACAGTGGTAGTGTGGGAAGCTATGGGTCTGGGAGGTAGGAGTCTTGGCTTCTCATCTATGCATTGTCTCTGAATGGACAGTGGGGGCAGGGGGTGGCTGTCTGTGGCCAGGTCACCTTACCACTCTGGACCTCAAACAAGGAGGCTGGAGTAAATTACGTCTAATGCCCTAATGTCTAATAAAATCTCGTGCCACCTTCGCAGAGATGGTAGAAAGGGAGAGGAGGGTGGACATGGCCCAGAGCTAGCTAAGATGAGGTATGGAAGGAGAAAGAGAAGTGTTCATTTTGTCTAATTTCCAATCGGCAAAGCCAGACTTGGGGCAATTCAGACTGGTTATGTGGTGACAAATAACTCCTGCTCCCTCCCTCCTGGACCAAACTTGATTTCTTTAGCTGGAATTAAAAAAAAAAAAAAAAAGACTCATCTGTAAAACAGGAATAATAACAGCATCTTCTTCATACGTGTTAGGAAAATAAGTGCATATTTCTAAAGAACTCAGAGCAGAGTAAGTGATCTGTACTTACAAAATAAAATACATACCTCTTGGTATTTATTAGCTATACCTCAGAAGAAATGAGGTTATCAGCCCTTTCCCAAGAGCATGTTTTGAGTCAGTAGAAGAGAGAAGGAAAAGAAAAAGGAAAATGTAAGACTTAAGGTATGGGTCAGTTAGGAATGCAGATGCTAGCAAAGGAGCTGGTTGGTACCTGATAGGTGCCTACGTACAGCAGATGGATGAACAGACAGACAGATAAAATGGACAGATAGTAATAAGGTGGAGAGAGTACACACAGAAGAACCTTCAACTTCTTTGCAACTCTGGGATGATCTAGTCCATGCAGTAAGGCGCATTAATAATTTTATTCCCACTGAGAATTCAAATCCAATTCTCCATCAGCAAATGAGCCTTCTGAAACAGGCCAAACTAAGCAAACAACTCCAAACCCAGAGACCTACCACTCCTCTTCTACCCCACCCCAACTGGAGACCAAACCCTCCTTGGAGCCTGTGATAAAAGCAACTCTTAGCCTGCACTAGATCAATTTCCAAGTTGTGTTGGTCCTGGTACATTATGTTTAAGAGTGGATGCTACCTGTCCTTTCTGATCAAGGTTATTACCTTCTGAGACTTTTCACTGGAATTAGCTACTCGCTGTTACTTACGTACACTGGGACAGAGATCAGCCTCATGCCTTCCTTCAGCTATGTCACTATAGATAGTTCCCAAGTCCTGCCTAGCTCCCTTCCAAATCAGAGGAATAGCATGTGAACTCCATTAGTACCTCAAAGTAGAACCCCTAAAACAAGTTCAAGTTCAGTTCAGCTGGTGGGCACAGTCAGGCTGTTTTCTGGGTTGGTGTGCAGACACTTTGTCTATTGTGACACATACTCATAATGTCACAATGGATATGTATATGCATTATGGTCCCCGTGGTTTGAGTTTGGGGTTCCCTAAAAGTCAAAATTCAAAAGGAACCCTGAATCTGCATGTATAGATAAAAAGTATCTGATAAGTCCCACTTCCCCTTCTGCTCAGAGACAGTAAATTCAGTGTCCTTCCCTGTCACTGCAAGAGTCCTGACAAGAGAGGGCATACTCTAAGCAAACTCTGAACCATGCTGCATGTCTCTGAAGCTCTAAACCACATGGTTGTTTCCATCTTCTTAGAATATTTTTTTAAAACTCCTAAGAAACATAATGCAGATCTGGGAAAGATTTCCAAAAAGGAGGAAACAGACCACAGAGAAGGGGTTCAGAGGCTTCCCTCAATGTGAAAAGTCACTGATAAGTCTCTTAGGTTAACAAGAGGCAAGAGGACTGCAAGTTGTGCAAGAGAAATGCATGAAGGGAATGGATTAGGGCAACATGGACTTGCTCAAGAATACCAGGCCCAGGGAGGTACTGAAAGCCAGAGAAGTAAAGCATGATTTGTGCAATGGAAATCCAACAAACACATACAGAATGCCCGCCTGGCAGGGTAGTACAAGCTGCTACAGATGGGACAGGGCAAGAGTAGACCAGACAAGGGTGTTACCAAAGGGATAGTGACTGGCCCTCTGAGGCAGGAGTTCAGGGCAAAGGCAGAGTGCTATGCTGGTGCTGACAGTCTGACAGTAGGTGTGTCATTGTCCTCTAGTCAGCTTTGGGCATATGGCAAAAGTGAATCCATGGCAGGTGCCAGCAAGAGAACATCCCTTCCATGAGACCTAAAACTGATCCAGTTACCCACTCTGTAAGAGTTGGTGAGCACATTGCTCCTGTCCTGTACAACCCGGGCCATTTCTGGAATGCAAGTGGTGACCACACACTTACATTCTAATTGGTACCCTTTCACCCTCCTTGGTACCATTGTGAGCTCTCTCCATGCTCCCAAGGGGAGTCTTAGGTCAGCTCCTTCCAAATCTCCCTCCTTGTATGCGACAGTGGTGTTCCTGAAAAGCAGTGTGTAGACTGAATTTCTGTAAAGCAGGACCCACTTTCCTAACAACAATCACAAGACACAAGTGAACACAACTGAGCACGTGATGACTGTCTCCAGAATTACTCCACGATAAGTCTGGATTCCAAAGGGACTGTGATTCTTAGATGGAAGGAGCATGCTCTCTCCTTCCCCAGGGTTGAGTGCATGGGGAATACTCAGCAGATACCTGTTGGCCCCAATTCTGCATCCCCTAAAACAGAGCTAAAAATCAGTTTCCTTGCAGCCTCTCTTTTCTCTACCAAAGTCCTTTCAATGAGTAGTTAATGACCTGTATACACTTAATGAGCTAGAGAAATAGTCCATGAAAAGGTATACCACTGTGGATCCTTTTATAAGGTGAAAGGAAAAATACCAAAAAGCTTTGTAAAATGAAACCTGTTAAATGCTCTGTTTGATACATTCAGATTTTTTAGAATATTAATAACTAGTACTCAAGTATATATAAGTTATGTTCAAGTCAGTCCCTAAAACCCAGCCCTCAACACCACAGGCCAGGGATATATCTGAGAGCTTTGAAGTCTAGACTCAAACCTCAGCTCTTGAAATGAATTGGAGGGTTATAGGTAGACAAATTCATAGCTGTAACATCAGGAATGGGCTGGAAACTCGATCAATGCTCACCAGTCACCACCTCCCTCTCTGCCACATCCTATAATAGTGATGATTATATTATATCCAGTGACTTCCACTGGATGGCACTTTGCAGCTTACAGAGCAATTTAACCACCTCTACTTTCTTTGAAACCCTTCAAGACCCATCTTCTCCGGTCATCTTCTTTGGATTACTACTTTAGTAATCCAAAGGAAAGAGATTATTTTTCCCCCAAAGAACGCTGTAGGCTCTTCCCCCCTCCCCGCCCCATTTCTCCCTTTACATGTAATAGGTTAACAATCTAATAGAGAAATTATCAAAGGGTTCTGTGCACTGCCCTAAAGGAAATCATGGTTCTTCTGCAGGATAGGAGTAGCCCAAGTATTGGAAAGGGGAGCCTGTACACACACGACTCCATCAGCCAAGGGCCACCAGAACCTATAAAAGTCTAGGTTCCACAGAGATTGCTATGTATAGAACCCAGAAGGCCAGTGTAAGTGAAGGACTGAGCCACAGGGCAGCCTCTAGGGAGCTGGGTCTGGTCTTTGGGAAAAACATTATTCTGAGCAGGGCTGGCTTAAGACCAAAGTCTGGGAAGGTGGGGAGGGGGAATTGGGTCAGATTCTAAGCAAGATGGGCCTCTCAGCATTTGGGTGTGTAGCTCCTTGAGGGGACACCACAGCCCTGGGCAGGGTGGTGTTGACTACAGATAATGCCCACAGTGATAAGCAGGGGGCTCTGGTAAAAGAGGCCCTGGACATTACAGGCTGGGCACAACCTCAGGGACAGCTCACAGGACCCACAACAGTGTGCTCCAAGAACTCCTCCCAACCCAAGACCCTATCAGTACTAAACAAGCACACAAGATGCGCACCCCAGACTGGGCTGGAAAGAGGGGTCCCTACAAGGTTGCAGGGTGTGCCCTGAAAAGGTGGTGAGGACACAGCCTCCAAGCATTGCATCACCCTGGCACCAGAAAGGCATAGGCTGACCTTTCCTAGAAGTGGCCTAGTAAATTCATAATCTAGTCACCTCTGGTGCTTGAGTTTTTCAAAATCCAACGGCAAATTTAGGGTGCTACACAGAGCTAAGAAGGAATATCTGCTCTCTGTAAAGGTAGGGGAGCAGACAGAAGAGTGGAAGGGGCCAGAGCCAGTGAGGTCACCTGCAAATTCAAGGTCATTTGGACTCACCATATTGTTGGTCAGACTGCTGATTCTCTGAGGAGCCTGGAGACTGTTGCTTAGTGAAGCCTCTTAAATCTAAATACTAATGCATATGTGCCTTGTACCTATATCTGCATTACCTGTAAACTTTGCTCAACCAAAGATGACTGTCTAACTCACCCAGAAATGGCTTCTCCCTACTAGAATAGGAAGCAGAGAGGCAGAAGCAGCATCTTCTCCCAGTTTCCCTTCCTCCAACTCTCTCTACACACAGACATCCAAAGGGAAGCTCATCTACCTCTGCCTTTTCAGGGGGTGATCCCCTGACATGTCCCCTGGTTCTCAGATTTCTAGGCCTTCTGTTATCTTCTCCTGTCTTAGGGGCCCAAGCTAATAAGCTATAGAACAGTGTCTGGCTATAGAGCCTGGGACATCCACATGGAGCACAGTTCAGCCACATGCAGGGTGAGCATGTCTTTGAGTGGGCTTCCAGGGCCCAGGCACATTGGCTCCCCCGCCATACACATCTGATCCATGTGCTTCAGGCTAAAGTCAGAAGACCTTGGTGCCTCATTCCTTCAGGAACAATCCACTAGAGAAGCTGCACTTTCTGTAACACCTCCAAGTGAGGGTCTAATGGCACATTTCTCCCTGGGGGACAGAAAGGGGATTAGCCCCACTTTATAGACAGAAGCCTGAGGCCCAACAAGTGGCCATCACTAGCAAGTGAAAACTCGAGCATA